GCCCTCTGGAGCCCTTCCTCCCTCCCACCCGCTCCTGTGGGAAAAGAGGGCCCGGGATACGGGGTGGGGTGGTGGGGGGAGGTTGATTTGGTTTGGTTTTTCTGATCTTTGTGGTGTCCCAGTACAGTGGCGTTTTTCAGTTCCTTTCTAGGAGAAAAAATATCTTGGGTTCTACTTGGGTGGGATCTCAGCCCTGGCCTCCCAAACCCCCATCCCCGACTCTGCACTCCTGCAGGTCCCTGCCAAGGGCCTCCTAGGAGGAACTCCCATAAACCTAGGACAAACAGACTATATTCATTTTAATGACACTTACATGCATTAACCTCCTATGCATGGCCAGAAGCCCTGCGGCACGAAGTATCATGTGGTCGAAGTTCAGCCTCCTTTCCGCTCCTGCCCCGGGCCGTCTCCCCAAAGGCCTGTCTTTGGGGTGTCTTTCCAGAAACCTTGGCATGGCCACGCACTTCCAAATCCTCTCCCTTTCATCACACAAGGCCACCTGCCCGGTCCCTCATTCTTCCCCTGGAGGTTCACACCTGTTCTGCCCAACGGAAGCAGCCTGCCCACTATCGGTGTTTTTTATAAAACACCCGCATTGAGATTTAATTCCCATCCCATACAATTCACCCAGTTAAAGTGTACAATTCAGTGGGTTTTGCCATATTGCAGTATTTTTGTAGATGGTGGTAAAAAATATACATGTCATAAAATCTGACATTTTATCAGATTTTTTAAGTTCAGTGGCATAAGTACATTCCCAGTGGCACGCAACCAACAGCGCTGTTCCCCAAGTTTTTTCTTCCCCCCACATAGAGGTTCTCCGCCCAGTAAGCAAAACCTCACCAGTCCCCTTCCAACCTTCCCAGCCCCTGGTAACCCTCATCTACTGTCTCTGTGAATGTACCTCTTCTAGGGATTTCATGGAAGCGGAGCCGGATGCTACGTGTGCTTTTGTGTCTGGCTTATTTCACTGAGTGTAGTGTCCTCAAGGTTCATCCACAGTGTAGTGTGTGCCAGGATTTCCGTCCTTCTTAAGGCTGAATAATGTTCCATTGTACGGATGGACCGCATTTTGTTTATCCCTTCATCCTCTGATAGACGTTTAGGTTGTTTCCAGCTTTTGGCTATTGTAAATCACGTTTCTATGAGCACAGGTGTACAAATATCTCTGCGAGTCCTTTGGGTAATTATCTCGGAGTGAAATTGCTGGCTGAGTGGGTAGTTCTGTCTTTAGCTTTCAGAGGAACTACAAAACTGATTTCCGCCGCATCTGTAATTTTCAATTTTCTTAAAAAAACAGTTTTCCCATTTTTTCTTATTTTATTTATTTACTTATGGGGGGGTGATTAGGTTTATTTATTTATTTTCAGAGGAGGTACTGGGGATTGAACCCAGGACCTTCTGTATACTAAGCCTGCACTCTATCACTGAGCTATACCTTCCCCCCTCTGTAATTTTCAACTTTCTATCAGACACATTGAAAAGAATAGAAAGAAACCAGTAAAATTAATTTTAATGATATATATTATTTCCCCCCATACATCCAAAGCATCATCTCAATAAATAATCAGTGTAGAAAATTACTGAGGGAGGGAGGGTATAGCTTAGTGGTAGAGAGCACATGCTTAGCATGCATAAGGTCTTGGGTTCAATCCCCAGTGTCTCTATTTAAAAAAA